GTGGCCCGGGTCTGGGAGCCACCGCCTGGACGCGCGGCGGCGCCCGCACCCTGCCCCGGACGCGCCCGGACCGCGGGGTGGGAGGAGGCGAGCAGCCTCCCGGGCTGCAATGGAAATGCCAGTTTGGGGAGCTTCACTGTTCTTTTCTTTTAAATGTTTTTCTACTTGACCTAGACATGGGTCTGTCCCCTCTAGACCCGCAGGTGATTGATTTTCCTAGGCTGTGAGTTTGGGATTGCTGTCTGCAGCCCTGGGCGACGAGATACCTCGCCCACCCCCATCCTTCTCCCCGTCCCCCCCCCGCGCTCTCAACTCTTGTGCCTTGGATCCTCGTGCAGTTTTCATCCATCTTTTCTCCAGAGCTGGGCCAGGGTGGTAACTGGATGCTTGGGGTACATGGTGCAGGAGCACAGATTAGACGGAGGAGTCCCTGGGATTTTTCACTTCTCCGTGTCCCCAGCCCGTCCACAGGGGTCCAGTTGGGACTGACCCAACCCTGGTCCCGCTTTCTCTTCGCAGGCGATCAGTGGGCGACCGCATCTGCGGGAGACTTTACCGTCCTTCCTCCAGGACGTTGGGGGAGAGAAGTGGTAGCTCCCAATCCCCTGCAGCATCGCCACCATTTCGGACACCCCGCAGGCACTCGACTTGGGGTTTCATCTGACTTCCAGGAAGGACTCTGACTCTAGCTCCGGCAGCCACCTGTCTTTGCCGCGGTGACCATTTTTCTCATGACCCTGCGGTGCCTCGAGCCCTCCGGGAATGGCGCGGAAGGGACGCACAGCCAGTGGGGGACCGCGGGGTCGGCCGAGGAGCCGTCCCCGGAGGCGGCGCGTCTGGCGAAGGCCCTGCGCGAGCTCGGCTACACAGGTAGGGAGCGGACGGGCCGCGATGCGTGAGAGAGGGGGGCTGCAGTGGGACGCGAAGGTTGGGAATGCCTCTGGGCTTCCCGTCCCCACTCTGGAGCAGGGGACCACGAGAGCGATTCCTGATGCCTGAGCGCTCTGCCCGGATCCGTGGGAAATGGGAAAGGAAAGTGTTCCTCCAGGGACCCAGAGGCTTGAGGGGGGCAGGGCAGCGCGAGAGAGAAGCTCCTTGGATATAACCTCTTAGGGCGCTGGAAGTTGCACTGTTCTCCAGGGGTGGACGCTTGGGCTGGAAGCCCGACTAGAGAAAGCGCCGGGCGCCTCCCTTCCTGCAGGACGCACGGGCAGCGAGTAGGCACTGCGCTCCCTGCTGCCCGGCTGCGACCGGCTCCCGGGCGGGGTTGCCGTTGCAGCTCGGGAGCCTGGACCCAAGTGCAGAGTCGGAGGGACGCCAGCCCGGCAGGGAAGCCCCCGCGGAGCGCGAGCATGGCGCCCCAGGGATTGCTGGTTCTAAGGCAGCCCTGCGGTGCACGTGGTTCAGCGTCGAAAAGGAAAGGTCTTTGTCAGATACCTAGCTCATAGTCAGGCTTTCCAACTCTGGATCCTAAAGTTAGCGTTTGAGTTAAGAGTAGAAGTTTCAGTAGTAATGGGAAGAGGGAGAGGAAGAACTTCCTCCCTAGGTGCTTCCGTCTTGGGTTGCAGGCTGCAGGCTTCCGGGGTTTCCCTCAGCTGGAGAGACCCGCCGATGACCTGTGTCCCGGTAATTTTTTTACGTGGGCGGGGAGAGTTGGGTGGATGTGGAGGAAACACATTGTAGGCTTCTTCCAGGCACAATGTCTCTGAGTCACTTTTGAAAACGGGATGGGCCAGGGTGATGGCTGAGGCAGATCAAACGGAGAAAGTGGGAGAAGACTGTTGCGATTGAACTTGAATCAGGGCAAAGTCCTGGAGTTTGCCAAAGATGATAAACGTGAAGTACTAACGATTGGTTGGGGCTTCACATTCTCAATGATGAGATGGTTGTAATCAAAGCAATTAACAGGAGCTATTGTAGGAGAGCTTGTACTTTTAAAACAGAGCTGGCCATTAGCAGATTCTTGCGGGGGGGGGGGATTGTGTAAGAAGAGCACCCGCCCTCCAGAAAAGGGTTTTTTGCTTTTACTGTACTGGGTTTGGATTTTCCACTTTTTATGTCTAATTTCTGATATATTTCTAGTTTACTTAGTCTTTGTTTCAGTTGTACTAAAAGCGTAATGCTTTGTTCGCCAGTGTCTGTCATACTGCTCGGGTTCTTTTGGCTCAGAAGAAAGTCTTAAAGTAATTTAAAGAAGGGCTATAGAAAGTTATTTTTAAAAGAAAGAAAAGCAAGAAAGAAACCGGATCGCAGTTTGTGTTCGTAAAATAAAAAGGACTCAAATTTTCATTGAAATTCCTACCACAAGTATTTGTGGTAGCCCCCTGTAAGTTCAGACACATGTGTGTAGATAGAGATATATATGTTTTTAGAGCTAGCAAAATTACTGCCAAGTACATATACCCTGTTCTAAAAATCTGTGTAATAACTTTTGCCCTCTTTTCTTTTTCTTCCTGAACAAAAACCCCAGGATGGTACTGGGGAAGTATGACTGTTAATGAAGCCAAAGAGAAATTAAAAGAGGCGCCAGAAGGAACGTTCTTGATTAGAGATAGTTCACATTCAGACTACCTACTAACAATATCTGTCAAAACGTCAGCTGGACCAACTAACCTTCGTATAGAGTACCAAGATGGGAAGTTCAGACTGGATTCTATCATATGTGTCAAGTCCAAGCTTAAACAGTTTGACAGCGTGGTTCATCTGATTGACTACTATGTGCAGATGTGCAAGGATAAGCGGACGGGCCCGGAAGCCCCCCGAAACGGGACCGTTCACCTTTACCTGACCAAACCACTGTACACCTCTGCGCCCTCCCTGCAGCATCTCTGCCGACTCACCATTAACAAATGCACCGGTACCGTCTGGGGCCTGCCTTTACCAACAAGACTCAAAGATTACTTGGAAGAATATAAATTCCAGGTATAAGTGTTTCTCTTTTTCTAAACATGCCTCATTTAGAGTATCTCCAAATGCAGCTATGTAAAAGAGAACCAAAACTTGAGTGACTGCTCTGGAACACTGCACAGAATCCTTGCTAAGAACAGCTGAAGTCAATCTAATTTAAATGCCTGAAGAGATAGCTAGGTATTGAAAGTTCCCTTAGATAGTTCTGCCTGCCTGAGCAATGCTTCTTTTCCTCAGGTTGACCAAGACCGGTTGATCCATTTAAATTCAAAAAATAAAATGTCCCAAAGTAAAGGCCAGGGGAGCATTTTATCAGAACCCCTTTGCCTTTCTTAAGTTCCTTTGCATTAGGTCAAAGGTCTAAGCTCCAAGCTCCAAGCACTGGGAGGTAGGAAAGAGCTCCGCAAAGAGCTCCTCATGCAGTACTGAAGAAGAGAGAAGCCAGGCGGAGACAGGCGTGACTTCAGTTCTCAATGCCTGCCTGTCCGTCTGTTCGAGGATGTTTTATATTTTGCATTCTGGTGTACCTAGGAATTTTGTTAAACAGACCATGGTTGTATTTATCTCTCATTTTATGCAATTAACCAAACCAACCAAAACAAGTGACCATGAAATCCTGTATCTGTCTTTTTACTACATGTATGAACTCTCTCCTGTGAATGAGTACTGTAGTAATCGACTTTAAGGGAGCCTTATTTCAGAAATATTTCAAACTGGTGCAAATAGGAAAAGACTTGCGCTTTTCCTTTAAGGCTAAAGACAAGAATGTCATGCTATACAGGTGCAATTCAATCAGCTGTTCATAGAAACCAATGTAGATAGACATTTTAACCTCTGAAGTAGCTGTATTCCAAACTATTGCCATTGTTTTTTTTGGAAACGGCTTTAGGAATTTCCAAGTTGCCCTTGAATTGTCTCACTGTGGATGTCAGCTGTTGTCTCCCTTCTACTATTACTTTTGACTTAATTTTCTCCCAGATGTAGGGGAAAACCTGCCTGTTTTTCCAAGTGTTTATTTACTGCTGTTACTATTTGATTAGAATGTATTAAATAAAAGAAACCCTGACTTTTACAAGTTGCACTTATTACTTCGAATTGTAGAGAACATACACTCTCATGGTAGTAGAGGGCCACCGTAAAACCTGTTATCAGGTGTCATAAGCCAAACATTCAGCAAGAAGTAGAACATAACTCACCATTCTCCAAAGTGAAGGGCTGTGCTCACCCTTTGCATTTTGGAAAGCATGGTTTAGAAAATGCATGAGTTACCACCTGGCCTGGTCTTTTACTTAGGCGTGACATTGAGGCCCTTTCTGTTTCCAAAAACATGGTTTAGAAACTACAAAAATTATGTTATGGCCTAGTCTTTTACAAGCTGAGTAGACATAACACTAAATAAAAATTAGAATTTTTATGGCCACTTTCTCTTTTTGCTGCACAGTCTCATAGCTGTTAGGAATGTACAATTTTTTCTGGAATGTAGACATTATTCGTTTTGTCACCTTTTCAAAATTGCCTGCCATAGCTAAATACTAGAATATGTCGTCAAGAGAGGTGAACCTGGGATTCTATATGTATCCTGAGTGAATAGGAAATTCAATTACAGATCATAGCAGAACTTGCTCATTATAGATCTTACCTTATTTTTATTAAGAACTTGAAATCCACAACAGTTTTTTAGGCCTGGAAGGAAAGAAAGAAAACATACTGTGCATCCAAACAAGAACCAAACATGGGAAGTGTGCTGGGTATGTCTGAAGAGTGTATTCTAGCACAGATTTGAAGAGCTAGACTTTCAGAGTCTGGTCTGTGACAGGGCGATAAACTTCTCATTAGGATATTCAGATTCCGTGCTTCCTCACCCCCACATTTGTTGATGGTTCAATGTTTGTTGGCAAAGCTTTCACAAGATCAATGCCATTGTAGGATTTCTTTAAAGGTGTTCTGCACTTTGGTTCTCATTCTTTGAAAAACTCACAGTTTCCTAGTTATTGGGAGGGAGGAGGCAGTAGCAGGACATGAGAACCTGTCGGGTTCTGGGAGGTTCTGCCTCCTTCCTAGCTAGTGAATTACAGGTAGAGGACAGCCCAGACTTCTCCGGAGTATGCCAAGAAACTCATTTCCTCATGTTTCAATCTTTCCTGTTCCCAATAAGTTGATAGGCATCAGGAAACAACCTGGGTTTTTTGGTTTGTTTGTTTACAATGTCATCGAGCACCAGGCTCTGACTCAGGAGTTTGCGTGCATTATCTCATTTAATCTTTGCAAGGCCTCAATGAGCAAAGTCCAGCATTATAGGAGGGGAATATTTCTGCATTGATCCAGATGAACAAGTTAGAGCAGGTTATAAAAAGAATCCTCAGCCTTTTTATTGCTGCCTCCACTGCTCCTCCACGGAAAGAGTGGAGATACCTTAATTAGTGCTGTTCTCCTGGGGGAGTCTCGTCACTCTGGCTCTGTGTCCCCCCCCACTCCTGAAAGGGGAGCCCCTAGTGACAGGCATGAGAGTGGGTAGAGGTAGGCTGACCCTTTTACTCAGTGGCTGCGAAATGATTCCCTTTGACAGCCTGATTTTACAGAGTGGAATGAAAAGTTAGGGTACACATTTGTCTAAATTATTCGTAATAGAACTGAAAAAGTACTCCGTGCAGGGCCATCTGGGGCCTTAGTAAGATCTTTATTATTGTTAATAGTGGTGAAGAATGTCATATATAGGGTTTGTTATATCCCCAGTGACTTTAAAATATTCTGATCTGAATTTCTGTTCCAAGCAGAGAAAAGACAATGGCGCTTTTCATCACCATTACAGTGGGCACTGGCGACTGCTTTTTAGAAATGCACAGAATTTTTTAGGATTTTGAAAAGTAGAGAAAAAGACTGGCTTGTGTGAGCCAAGAGCTCTTTCTGGTGTGTCTGTATGAAAGTTTTGACTTCATAGTAATTATGTAATTCAAATAGGTAATAGAATGGGACAGTTGTTCGGGAGTGTTTGTTTTCTTGGAAAGGATTTTCTCTGCTTTTAGAAAATTGTACCCTGTCAGAGGGGTAGGAGACAGAGACGGCATGCAGTAAGTAATCCGAGGGATGGAATGTCCGAGTTCAAACCATGTCCTTTTGGGTTGTGGGTTTAGGCGTAGAACAGGTGGGGATCAGTGGCTGTGCATCTGTCGAACAGCTGGGCTGAACGTTGCTCTAGGCTGGTAGTGGAGAACCGATGGCACGCGTGCCACAGTGGGCTGTTTGTATCATGAAAAGCTCTGAAAGGTTCGCCACCACTGCTCTAGCCCTTTCCTTTCCTAAGGGACCTGTATTCACCTCTCCCAGTTTTTTAACTTCCTAGGATTTTAAAGCTTGCCACCACTATTCAGCTCACATAATTTAGTTCCTTTGTTTTACTGCAGATGACTTGCAGACTCAGGGAAGTTCAGGAGATTTGCACACTCATGCACAATCCAGCCAATCAGCAGCTGTCAGTGCTCGAATATAGATCTCTTCATCTTAGGCGTAGCATTTATAGAACCTGCACACTTCTCTCCTTTGGAACAGTTGTCAGTGCTCTTCTTTGCTGTGGTTCTCTTAGCATCACTTTTTTCTTCCCTGTGGATTTTCTGTGGATTCGGAACCAGGCCTTTGGAGTGGCCAGGTGAGGTACTTCAGGTCTGGCGTCCTCCATCCTACCGGGAAGAATCAGCTGCTTTGCTGGGTTTAAGTGTTTTGATCCACATTAGTTTTGCATTCATTTTAATTCTTCCACATTTCTCATCTGTATGCTGTTTTAAAATCCAAGGCCTCCCACTCATGCCCTTGAAGGACATCAAGATGCCTCCGGTCCAGGTGCCTGCCCCTCCTGTTGCCTCAGGTGAAGCTGCACCTGGCTTTTGCCTGCTCTTCGGCATAGTTAGTTCTTGCCTGTTATGGTTGAAACATTGTGTCAACTTGGGGAGTCTAGAGGTTTGGCTAAGTGACTCAGCAGGAAGCCAGGATACTTACTTTGTATACATCCTGAGTCTGTGGAAGAGGAGGGCATGGAAATTATGTGAGAGCTACACACCCTTAGGTGGGGGTAGCCTGTTTACAAAGTAAGGCAGGGAAAGAAGCTGCTTGCTGCCTCTGGCTGCTTTGCTGTTCGGCTGCCATTCCCCCCTTTGCTCTTGTTGCTTTGCTACGTTCTGCCTTGGAGCCAGCCAAGTATGGACTGAAACCTCCACAAACTGTAAGCTAAATAAACCTTTCCTCCCTTCATTTTGGGTGTTGGGTATTTTGTCCCAGCAACGAGAGAAAAGTAACCAAGACATTGCCTCACTTTTGCACTTTCCTATCATAAAGTTGTCTTTTTTAGCTCATCAGACAGTATACTGCTGACAGTATTACGTACCAGTGAAAGAGGAATTATATTCTTCCAGAATTGGGTAATTGACTGATTTTGAATACCACAAGATTAAACTTCTTGGTCTCTTTGGCTTCCTTAGGGTTTTGAAACGGCACATTTGGCATGATTTGAAGGTGTCTGAGATTCCTCTTTCCTGGGTTATACTTCTGGGAGGAACAAAACTATCTTCTATTTCTTGTCTGTCCAGGAGAGTGATCCCCTCTATATCTCTGGTTCACTTTGACACATGCCTGTTTTTCTTTTCCAGTTTTTCCTCTCTGTGGCTTGAGTTCTAGTTGTTTCACTTTGCACTAAGAAAAAGTGACAGTCATTGCTGTGGTAAAGGCCCTGACCCTCCCAGATGCTTAGGGAGTACCTCAGCTCACGCTGCCCCTCCCCAGCTGCGCGCCCAAGAGTGTGCACAAGGGCGGCGGGCTCAGCCAGGAGCTGTCAGAGGATGGGACTCACTTCGTAAACATTCACAGGGCCATAAAAATAAAACTGCTTTTATAGACAACTCTCACTTTGAACTCTTCACTTCAAGGAAGTACCTTGCCCTGCAGCAGGAAGGGGCCCGTGTTGGGAGAGGTTTCTGTGGTCCTCCTGGCTTTGCCTCTGAGATGCAGAGCGGGGCAGTCAAGCTGAG